GAAGTTGGAGGAGCCTGGGTGCAGATAAGGTTAAGTGGGTACTTGTGCAAAGGGAAGGCCTGAGATTGGCATGTATGAGATTGTAACATCAGATTGCTTCACACAATGCAAGAATCGGAATGGGGAGGAATGCAGCCCAGCGCCAGAGGCAGCCGTGCATTCCTGATTAGAGTTGGCGTGATGGCAGTGGCAACAGCTACCACAGGGGGAACAGCACAACAGTGCAAATAGTGCTTGTCCTGCTGCCATCCCATAGTGCACTGGTCATTGTTTAGGTAGCACGGCTGCCATGGGCGGCGGCGGGTGAACCATGAGCTTGGGGAGGATAGCCTCTGGCTGGCCCACCCCTCATACCTCCGCCAGAACCCAGAGAGCCCCACCCCCCGCCAGCCCCGGGCTGCCTGAGTGTCCGTCCCCCCGGAGCACTGGTCAGGCAGCGCAGCCCCCAGAACAGCATGTGGGCGGGCAGGCAGCCCAGCCCCCCACCCCAGGCCTGGAGTGCCAGGCATGCAGGCAGCTGAGCACAGCCCCCAGCCCCAACACGGGGGGCAGAGGGGGTGGGCAGCACGGCGCCGAGCACTGGGTGGGCAGGCGGCGCGGACTCCAGCCCCTGAGTGCCAGGCGGGAGGGCGGCGTGAGCATTTGGTCAAAACCTATTTCCAAATATAGCAGCTAACACAGGCATAACTGGAAAGTCTAACCCAACCTAGAATCAAATTAACAGGACACACTAGGCTCCATTGCATTTGTTTATGTATGAAGGCTACACACAGTGGCCAAGAGCAGTAGGTATTTAACAGCACACAGGGTAATCAGCACAGGAAGGAGGTTCTCTCAGTAGCTCTCACTTGCATTTGAGACACTAGTACAATCTCAATACCACAATTCAGTGCCAGCACAACTCACCCGAAACATGCTCGAGCAGGCGCTGTATGGTTTCAGTAAGTGACACTGCTGCACTGATATGCTATTCCCACCTAGAAAGGACTTCAGTTACTCACAGCTGGATTTAGAAATAGTACAATCATGGGCGGTGGGTATAATAGGCCAGGGGAGGCTCTGCCCCCCATGCTGCTACCACCAGACCCTGTTGCGGGGTTTGGCGGGGGGAAGTTTTTGCTTTATTATGCCTCATGCAGGTTCCAGGGTGGCTGAGGAGGCGGTATGTGCTAAACAGCTTACCAGGTTCATTTGTAATCTCCCTGGCCTCCTGAATCCAGGAAGCTGAATAACAAATACCGCCCTCCTCAGCCATCTCGGAACCTGCATAGGGCATATCAAAAGCGTCTTTGGGACGAGAGGTTTTTACCCAGGGCAGCTTGGGATCTGGGGAGGCACGGCATGGCTGAGGCTGGCCTGGGGCTCCTCTGGGCAGGATGTGGGGAGGGCTTGGGGGCTTTGGCTGGTCCAGAGCTCCTTTGGCCAACGTGGGGGGACTCGAGGCTCCTCTGGGCAGGGAGGGGGGGCAGACAAAAGGGGCAGAGCTAGGGACTAGCCTCCCTAAAGGGGGGCTCCACCTGCCGCCTATGAATACAATTACAGAATTAAAGCACTGAAAAAGGAGGCCTTGCTGCTTAAGCCCACAAACCTTTATTTTTTGTTTTAAACTGCTGATGCATAAACTGATGCTTGAAAAAAGTCCAGGGCCTCATTCTATCCCCAGTGAGATTCAAATATACAGTCTTAAACTGCTCAGCCTGGATTTAACTGCACTTGTTTCATCAGCTGTGTAAAAGAGCCGACCAAGAACAGGAGCCCTTGCCCCAAGTGAAAGGGAGCATGCTCTAAATTTAACGCATGGGATTAGGAATTGAGATTCTTGAGAAGAACTGAGTATTTTTGTTTACCCACGCTTTTAGAGCCATGCAAGTGATTCCATGCATGGAGAAGACACACTCATCTTTCACTCCACTGAGAATGTTTTAGCTGATCTGAATGTCAACTTTTGCTCAGACAAGGAGATGTTTTTGGACACTGGCAGAATGTCACTTTTCATACTCACAGACCTGTGTGCAAAACTTCCTTCCTTGAATAATGTGACTTTTTACAGTTCTAAAATAAATGGACATGGGCTAGATCACTTTTCAATTAAACTTACATTTTGGTTTGTGATGCTAACCCTTAAGTGTCCGTTATTCGTTAGGCAAATTCCACTCCAAACACAGCATGGATACAGGTACCATTAAAAATAGCTTTTTCTAGTCAACATACGAGTATGGGGTGCTTTAAAGAATGCATTGTATCTAAATGGATTAGATCAAAGCATTAACATGCAGACAGCTGCACATTTCCAAGACTTCCTCTACTTAATATGCTAAAGTGACAATAGACTGCTGGCAAGATTAGTTCTTAAACATGGGCCTTGTGTACACTGAGGGTTTAAGTCTCTCCGCCAAATGCTACAGTGGTACAGTTTCACAGATGCAGCACTGGTATAAAACACAACTGCAAACTGCTATGCTAGAGTTAGTTCAACTGTTTGCACATGCTATTGTTTTCCTGTGTTTGTTTGAATTCCATAGAGATCTCTCATCCAAAGGTTGCATCTGCCAACTGGATGGAGTTTAGACACCTAGAGATATGGAGGGCCCTTTCCTTGTAACCAGCTGGGGGGAAAAAAATAAAAATCTCAAGCGATACTTTCACTTGTAATCCTCTGAAGCCCTGCAAAGCAAAAAGTGACCCTGACTCCCTATGTTGTGTCTGGATAAACAGAAACTCATTAATGCAGACAACAGATAAGTTCTTAGAAACCTTTAAACTTAATGATCCGCCTGCCTTGTAGTATCTAAAGATTGCGATGCCAGCTGAAAAGCAGCTATGGGTGACTGATAATTGTAGAGAGATGTTAAGATGTAGTGATGAAATGTTTTGATAGTGTGTTAATATGGACTGTAAAGGAAGTCTAACATACTGTCAGTGCTTTTCTCTCTCTCCACCTCCCTCCCCCTAAAACTCGACACCTTCACAAACACCACATGTAAGGTCAGTACTATTTATCCTCGCTTTGTAAATGAGGAAGCGAGGACAAGAAGTTTAAGTGACTGGCTTAAAGGTCACACACACACACACACACACAAAAACACGATGTTGCCTGGGAGGAAGAGCATCACTTAAGGCAGTGGCGAGCAACCTGCAGCCCATCATGATAATCCGCTGGCGGGCCGCCAGACAGTTTGTTTACATTTGAACAGCCGCCCGCAGCTCCCAGTGGCCATGGTTTGCCATTCCTGCACAATGGGAGCTGCGGGAAGCTGCAACTTCTCCTTAGTTGCTAGCTGCTTTATCTGCTATGCCAACCATTTATTAACATCTGTTTAATATTGATGTCACTTAAGAGACTTATTAATTCTAGTATGACCTTTCCTACTGCACGTGGATAAAAAAGCCACACAAACTACACAGCACAGCCTATAGAAAAGGCACTAATGTCTTCCTGAGCTTGGTCAGCTGAGAGATGCATGACACTGGTGGAAGTCCTCCATCAATAGCCAGCTTGTTATCCCTGCTGGGTTGGGTACAAAAAACCCCTCCTCTTGTTACCTACGGGAAACACCATGACAGCAGAGGATTCCAACCCTATCATGGAAGCATATCGCATGCTGCCGCCCACTTAGATGAAGGTCGTTCAAGAGGTGGCCCATGTCACTTCTTGACACTGAAGAGTAGACGGGTGACGATGTGAACACCTGTTGTGTTTCATTTCCCCAAGAGCTGCCACTGATTTTGGGGGCGCAGCCTGAGACCTGCCGCCGTGGATGCTCAGTGCTTTTGAGAGGCAGACATTGTCCGGGTCATTGCCTTCTCAGTGGCAATGACTGCATGGCTGGCGCGCGAGACCCCCCCCTTCAGGGAGACTAACCACATGGCCCCACCCTTTGTACCTTGCCCCCACATCCTCCAGAGCCCCAAGCACCCACCCTACCTCCCCTCCCCCACCGCCAGGCTGCACCCAGCACCCACCACGCCTCCCCTTCCCCACTCCCCCCCAGCGCCAGGCCGCCAGCCCGCTGGCCTCAGCATCGGCTCTGGCTGGCGTTGGAACTGAGCTTCTGCCGACTTGGGCACTGGCATGGGGGAAGAGGGCGCAGCATGGGCAGGGCCAGGGCTTGGCTTAGGGAAGGCTTAGCCTCCCCAGGCCTATTATGCCTGCGCCCATGAATGACTCATTGACTCAAGTGTGAAAGGACCCGATCCCTTCCCTGGCCCCTCCTGCGACAATGCTTGAATAGCCTGAGTCATTCTAATTGGAGGATGCAAGGCTCATGTCTCACACTCAGCGATTACTCATGCACAATTTTAATGACCACACACATGCATTTATGTGAAGACAGCTATGTTTATGGTGATGTATTCATTACACACCAAATTATATTAAGTCTGAGTGAGTAGTAGAGCCTTCATGCAGCTAGTGGCAACTAAGTGCCTAATCTAATAGGAAACAGAACACAGGAGATGTCTACAATCAAGCACTAAGTACCTTACTGATGGTTATTCTCAAAGCTGCCCTGCTTTGGGAAGAGGGTAAACATCTCCAATTTCTTTAGTTCACAGGACTTATCTGTGTCTGGAACGAGTCAATTGTGATTCCAAATCCATGGTGTTAAGATGCGTGCGAACGGAATAAGGAAGCTTACAATGTGATTTGATCTAGCAACCTAGTCTTGGTTATTCCAGCTTTGTGAATGAAATAAAATAAGGCATTCCACCAAGCTATGGCCTGCGTCATAGGCAGAAAGTCAGACTAAAGGAGCAAAAATGGTTATTTTTGGCCTTACAATGTATGTAGAGCTATAATCAAATTTGTTAGTCTCTAAGGTGCCACAAGTACTCTTGTTCTTTTTGCAGATACAGACTAACAGGGCTGCTACTCTGAAACCAATCAAAAAATCAGTAATACAGGACTCCAGTCAATTGAGCTTAACATTAAAAAATCCAAAACTACAGGATGCAAAGAAAGCAAAGGTAGGTTAGGTCATTTAGCTAGATTAAGCACTTACCAAGGTAAAATTCCTGCACCTAGAGTGGCTGCTTCGACTCTCCAAGCTCCCACTTCTTTCAAAGCTCTCAAGTCTGCACTTCGGTGAGATTTCAGATGCCATTTCTGAAAAGTCCAACATCAAATGTCTAGGCATTCCACCCCAAAGAAAGATCGTCCCAAAGCAGGTTTGTCAGGCGGCGTAGAAAGTGGTCAATGCCTTATGTGGGGCTGCTCACCATGTTCATCTCTGAAAGTAGAAGAGAACTGTGGTGTTAGTTTAGGTTTGATTTTTAATCTATTTAACGGGCAGGGAGGGTAAAACAGTGAAGATCTCAAAGTCTATAATCAGGAAAAATCTTTTAATCACTTTGCAGGAGACCAGGGTATTTCCATCAACCACCTACATCTTAAAGTGCAGTTCTAATCTAAAAGGTGACTTTAAAACACATGGAATGGAGGGGCTACATGTCCATCTCGGCGACTTCCGGATCAGATGGGCTCTGTTTATCAGTGCGGACATTACATAACTACATACTGTCCCATACGTAACTCAGTCTGGGATCTGACAATCAGGCTGGGTTTTCTATTATTAGTATTATCACACATCACTACTACTGGTAATAAGATTCTGCATGCCAAATTATTACACCTTCAGTGACCTCTATGCAACCCCTTAACTGCCAATGGGTTTGATGGGAACAATTTTTCTTTTTTATTAAGATGCATAAGAGGAATGAAATCCAGTTCCATCTCTTAGCTCTGCAGGGCTGACTCATTTGTCACTCATGTGAACAGATCCAATCTTGATTACATTCAAGGAACCCATCTGTGGAGTAAGCAGGTACCATTTTTATAGTCCCATTTCAGAGTGAAATTGCACTTTAAACCTTAAAGCACCTCTGGCTCTAACTTAATTTCATTCACTGTCATGCAGAAAGATGTTTATTCCTTTGGAGAAACCAGGCTTATTGGAATAAAAACCCCATACACAAGTATTTACTGACGCACAAGAGCTTTCAAACTATTGCAGGTTTCAGTTCCGCTGTATCTGGCTGATAAGCATTAGAACTAGTTGTAACGCTTTGAAGGAACCTTACCCCTCTGCCCCAATATTTTCTTCAGTCCCAAACATTAACATGAAGATAAGAGCATCCTCTAGAGACAGTGCTCACTAACAGCATGAGACACTTCCCCACCCTACCAGCCCATCTGCTCTCAAACATCCAGACATATCTAAAAGCATGATGATGTACTGAGAAGTAACACCACACGTCTTTCCCCCCCCCACCAGAACTTTCCCAGTCACAAGCAATATTTAAATATTCTGTAGAGTGGTAACAAATACAATTCCTCAGTACACTGGGGTCATGGGCTGGTATTCAGTGCCACCAACTATCACGTTTGTTACGTTAGAGCCCAGGGGACCATTGAGAATGAGGTCCTACTGTGCCGGGCTCATTACAAACATAGAATGAGACAGTCCCGGACCCGAAGAACTTACAGTCTCATAGTTTGACTCCTTAGGGGCAAAACAAGTGGGAGGTGGGGAGCCCAGTTTGCATTTCCAGTTCAACTGGATTATTTCTCCTCTCTCACCCCACCCCACCCCGGCTCTCAGAAACCACTAACTTTTTTTTGCCTCTTAACCAGCTGATTGGCATGTCACATCAGTACAACAGTATCTATCAATATTCTGACAATTCCATTCTCCTGATCACTTCATCCTGGCAGAATGCTATGATATACTAAAGGTATGTATGAATGTTGTCTTAGCTATGCCATTACTCCAATATTTGTCTTGTGGGAAGACTCCCACACAATGTAGCTAGGCTGCAATCCAGAAAATCCTAGGAGTAAACACTCCAAAGTAAACAGAGCAGTGGATTTCCACCCCACTGAACCATGCTAAAATAGGAAAAAGCTGCTCTTGTAAGCAACAATAAATCTAACAGTTACGATTTACTTTGGAGACTTTTTTAAAAGCCACCTATCCACAGGAATGAACACTTCTTATTTCTGCCCTCTTCTTATGCCCACCTCTTACTATACTTACTTACTCTTGCAATTACAGCAACACCTATGTAAGTACATGCCAAGAATTACTGTTTCGTACATGTATACTATGAAAACTATGACCAAAGGTTACGAGGCAGGCATGTTTTTAATACTGCTGCACCTGCCAATGTTCTCATTTCTGCCTCTGCAGGCACCAGAGATATTTAAAAAGGGCTCTAGAGGTGATCCCGGCAATTACAGACCAATAAGTCTAACATCGGTACCGGGCAAATTAGTCGAAACAATAGTAAAGAATAAAATTGTCAGACACATAGAAGAACATAAATTGTTGGGCAAAAGTCAACATGGTTTCTCTAAAGGGAAATCGTGTCTTACTAATCTATTAGAGTTCTTTGAAGGGGTCAACAAACATGTGGACAAGGGGGATCCAGTGGACATAGTGTACTTAGATTGCCAGAAAGCCTTTGACAAGGTCCCTCACTAAAGGCTCTTACGTAAATTAAGTTGTCATGGGATAAAAGGGAAGGTCCTTTCATGGATTGAGAACTGGTTAAAAGATAGGGAACAAAGGGTAGGAATTAATGGTAAAGTCTCAGAATGGAGAGGGGTAACTAGTGGTGTTCCCCAAGGGTCAGTCCTAGGACCAATCCTATTCAACTTATTCATAAATGATCTGGAGAAAGGGGTAAAAAGTGAGGTGGCAAAGTTTGCAGAGGATACTAAACTGCTCAAAATAGTTAAGACCAAAGCAGACTGTGAAGAACTTCAAAAAGATCTCACAAAACTAAGTGATTGGGCAACAAAATGGCAAATTAAATTAAATGGATAAATGTAAAGTAATGCACATTGGAAAAAATAACCCCAGCTATACATACAATATGATGGGGGCTAATTTAGCTACAACAAATCAGGAAAAAGATCTTGGAGTCATCGTGGATAGTTCTCTGAAGATGTCCACGCAGTGTGCAGAGGTGGTCAAAAAAGCAAACAGGATGTTAGGAATCATTAAAAAGGGGATAGAGAATAAGACTGAGAATATATTATTGCCCTTATATAAATCAATGGTACGCCCACATCTCGAATACTGCGTACAGATGTGGTCTCCTCATCTCAAAAAAGATATACTGGCACTAGAAAAGGTTCAGAGAAGGGCAACTAAAATCATTAGGGGTTTGGAGAGGGTCCCATATGAGGAGAGATTAAAGAGGCTAGGACTTTTCAGCTTGGAAAACAGGAGACTAAGGGGGGGATATGACAGAGGTATATAAAATTATGAGTGATGTGGAGAAAGTAGATAAGGAAAAGTTACTTACTTATTCCCATAATACAAGAACTAGGGGCACCAAATGAAATTAATAGGCAGCAGGTTTAAAACAAATACAAGGAAGTTCTTCTTCACACAGCACACAGTCAACTTCTAAAAATCACTTAGAAAAGTTAGATGCCTGCAAGTCACCAGGGCCTGATGAAATGCATCCTAGAATACTCAAGGAGCTAATAGAGGAGGTATCTGAGCCTCTAGCTATTATCTTTGGAAAATCATGGGAGACGGGAGAGATTCCAGAAGACTGGAAAAGGGCAAATATAGTGCCCATCTATAAAAAGGGAAATAAAAACAACCCAGGAAACTACAGATCAGTTAGTTTAACTTCTGTGCCAGGGAAGATAATGGAGCAAGTAATTAAGGAAATCATCTGCAAACACTTGGAAGGTGGTAAGGTGATAGGGAACAGCCAGCATGGATTTGTAAAGAACAAATCATGTCAAACCAATCTGATAGCTTTCTTCGATAGGATAACGAGTCTTGTGGATAAGGGAGAAGCTGTGGATGTGGTATACCTAGACTTTAGTAAGGCATTTGATACGGTCTCGCATGATATTCTTATCGACAAACTAGGCAAGTACAATTTAGATGGGGCTACTATAAGGTGGGTGCATAACTGGCTGGATAACCGTACTCAGAGAGTTGTTATTAATGGTTCCCAATCCTGCTGGAAAGGCATAACGAGTGGGGTTCCGCAGGGGTCTGTTTTGGGACCGGCTCTGTTCAATATCTTCATTAACGACTTAGATATTGGCATAGAAAGTACGATTATTAAGTTTGCGGATGATACCAAACTGGGAGGGATTGCAACTGCTTTGGAGGACAGGGTCATAATTCAAAATGATCTGGACAAATTGGAGAAATGGTCTGAGGTAAACAGGATGAAGTTTAACAAAGACAAATGCAAAGTGCTCCACTTAGGAAGAAAAAAAATCAGTTTCACACATACAGAATGGGAAGAGACTGTCTAGGAAGGAGTACGGCAGAAAGGGATCTAGGGGTTATAGTGGACCACAAGCTAAATATGAGTCAACAGTGTGATGCTGTTGCAAAAAAAGCAAACATGATTCTGGGATGTATTAACAGGTGTGTTGTGAGCAAGACACGAGAAGTCATTCTTCCGCTCTACTCTGCTCTGGTTAGGCCTCAACTGGAGTATTGTGTCCAGTTCTGGGCACCGCATTTCAAGAAAGATGTGGAGAAATTGGAAAGGGTCCAGAGAAGAGCAACAAGAATGATTAAAGGTCTTGAGAACATGACCTATGAAGGAAGGCTGAAAGAATTGGATTTGTTTAGTTTGGAAAAGAGAAGACTGAGAGGGGACATGATAGCAGTTTTCAGGTATCTAAAAGGGTGTCATAAGGAGGAGGGAGAAAACTTGTTCACCTTAGCCTCTGAGGATAGAACAAGAAGCAATAGGCTTAAACTGCAGCAAGGGAGGTCTAGGTTGGACATTAGGAAAAAGTTCCTAACTGTCAGGGTGGTTAAACACTGGAATAAATTGCCTAGGGAGGTTGTGGAATCTCCATCTCTGGAGATATTTAAGAGTAGGTTAGATAAATGTCTATCAGGGATGGTCTAGACAGTATTTGGTCCTGCCACGCGGGCAGGGGACTGGACTCGATGACCTCTCGAGGTCCCTTCCAGTCCTAGAATCTATGAAAACTTGTGGAACTCCTTACCTGAGGAGGTTGTGAAGGCTAGGACTATAACAGCGTTTAAAAGAGAACTGGATAAATTCATGGAGGTTAAGTCCATTAATGGCTATTAGCCACGATGGGCGAGGAATGGTGTCCCTAGACTTGGTTTGTCAGAGGGTGGAGATGGATGGCAGGAGAGAGATCACTTTATCATTACCTGTTAGGTTCACTCCCTCTGGGGCACCTGGCATTGGCCACGGTCGG